CATACCGATAATCGAATGCTACCGTTGAGTTTATACGAAGCAAATCCGATTTTCATTCGTAGAGAATGACATATCGAACTTATATCCTGAAATTTTGCATCGAACACTTCTAGCACGTTTAATAATTACTAGATGTTTCCGTACAAGAGTCTCGTCATCTTCAATGCTACTTACTTTTCTGAGTTATACGAGTTTGCTCTAAATAAATCTTTGAATTACTCGTATGTCCCTCATTTTTTTATTTTCGATTATTAGGCACTGCAACAACAACAATGGTACGAGAAAGAATCAGCCTTGGCCGAAATCGAGTACAGCCAAAAGAAGCTTCTCAAAGAGCTGAAGGAATACAAAGGCAACGACTATCAAGTCATAAACGAGGCAATTGCTTTCGCTAGCGAAACAGAGGATAATCACGATCTCTTACTTCCACCGTATCCAAGCCGCCCTTCTCACTCCCAAAACGGCTTTTTAACTCACAAATTCGTTCAAAACGGCGGCTTAAAAACCGCGAATGGTGGTGATAAACCAGACAGAAATAACAAGCCTCAACCAGGGTTAGAGGGCCCGTTCAAACGGGTTAAAGTCTTTATGACTGCAGCAGCAAAGGCGGCTCTAACTGTAGTTGGGGTTATCACTATCTTGAGTTTGGCTGGCTTTGAGCCGAAGCTGAGAAAACGGGATAATCTGCCCAAGATTCTTGATTTATTGAAGCTGCAAAAGAACGACGAGAAGGGAAGTTCGGTCGATTGTCCACCTGGCAAGGTGCCTGTTTTCGAGAGCGGTGAAATTCGGTGTGTTGTGAAGGAGAGAGTTGAGATTCCGTTCGAGCCGGTTGTTGCTACTCCTGATGTGAGTTATGGGTGTGGATGAAACTGTAGGAATATTCGTTTTTGTATATCCCAAACATCTTTTTGACATACACTTATGTATTATTGTTATCTTTGCTTATATTAATTAATTAAATATGGCACAACTCTTTGCTATTATATACTGCCTTTTTTGTCTCATTTTATATGGTCAAAGTAGGTTTTTTATCTGACCTCACACACACACACACACACACACACACACACACTATTATACATAGTACTGGGACAAGTTGTCTCTACATAAACCTCAAAGGCTAATCAAACCTCCTTTAGTTTAATACTCCTCTTAAGTTAAAACACACACACACAAACACACACACTTCAAATATGAGCATCTTGAAAATCAATAGTAGTATTGGATCTGTTACTGGCAATGGAATTGTTTCCAGGTTGGGATTTCCATGTCACCAGCCTGTGAGGTTATCATGGCTCAGAAGGGATGCTTCGGAATTTTGTCTTGTTTCGACAACTCCTCGGATCTCAAGTTCATGTAAGAAGTTGCAGATCTTTTCAGCTTCTATTGTGTGTTTGTGTGTTTTCTTTTATTTTCTATTTTTTATTCATTTTTTATTTTGTTTTATTGAAGGCATGGGGAAAAGTAGGGATCTAAAAGTGAGAGCTTTTACAGAAGAGCAGGAGGCTTTGGTTACAAAATCATGGAATATTATGAAGAAGAATGCTTCTGAGTTGGGACTCAAGTTTTTTCTCAGGTGATCATAATTCTTTCAATAATTAATTTATTAATTCATCTTTTTTTTTATACATCCCTTTTTCAATATGAACATAATAATAAGATTAATTACTTTGTTCGGTCGAAAATTCGCAGGATCTTCGAGATTGCACCGTCTGCAAAGAAGCTGTTTTCATTCTTGAATGATTCAGATATTCCTTTGGAGCTTAATCCAAAGCTCAAGCCCCATGCCATCACTGTTTTCGTCATGGTACACCCCCACCCCCACCCCCTTTTTTTCTTTTTTATTTAATAAATTAGCTACATACATTTAAACCTCTATAAATTAATGCATACAGGACTAGCAAAATTCTATTAATTTAGTAAAATATTAAATTATCGGAGCAAAAATTTGGTACGTTTTTACCGAGTCGGGGTCGGGATAAATTATTATTATTTAAGCGAGGTTATTAACTTATCGAGGTTCTACTGTATATTGCAAAAAAGTTCTGAATTTTCTCGAAATTTATTTTTACGGGGCATGAATGAAATTATTGCAGACGTGTGAATCGGCAGTGCAGCTTCGAAAAGCTGGGAAAGTTACTATCAAAGACTCAACTCTCAGGGATTTGGGCACTACACACTTCAAATATGGTGTTGCTGATGAACACTTTGAGGTACTTAATAAATTTGGTCAATTAATTTGTAAATAAAATTAAATGTTTTTTAATTGATTATATTTGTGTGTAAATTTCAATACAGGTGACAAAATATGCATTGCTAGAAACTATAAAGGAAGCAGTGCCCGAAATGTGGTCGCCGGAGATGAAGTGCGCGTGGGCTGATGCTTACGATCAGTTGGTAGCTGCTATCAAACTCGAAATGAACCCTCCTTGATTATATATATATATAATTTGCAAATTATTGTAATTTTATTTTTAATTATCAAGACGAACAATTTATTTTGTTATTTCGCCTCTTTCCAGTCCATGTTTTTCTCGATAAATTACTATGTTTAATCGTACTTGATTATTTATTTTCTCTATTATGAAAGTCAAGTTGTCGTGATTGCATCGAAATTGTATAGCGGGTAAAGTTACACTTTTGAAAATTCCGAATTTAGTCGAATTTTCAAAAAAAAAAAAAAAAATGAATTTTGTCGAAATTAGCTCAATTATACTCAATATATAATATAGATGTAGCCAGATTAACATTCATGTGTCCCTTATATTATACATACATCAATGAAATTCCTTCGATGAAAAATATAACAAGCCACAACACTAATAAATTTATTTATCTATTTTACTTTAAAGAAAAAGTTTATTGCAATTGGCACCCTTGTGTTATATCAAATTACTAAAAAAGCTACCTCATGTTATTTATTAACAAAACCCCCCATGGTTTAGTTTTTTTTAGCAAATAGTACCCCTAGTTAGGGGTTGTGTGCTAAAAGCCTAAAACAATTGAATTATAGGGGTTTTTTTGCTAATCAAATAACAGGGGTACTAATTGCAATAAACCCAAAGATAAATATGTAAATCAAAAGGGAAATTTAAAATTTATTTTTAAGTTTTAATTTTTCAGTCTTCACCTATTGTACTTAAGTTGGCGACAAATTTCGTCTCTTGGAACCACCACCTCCGCCGCCGTCCGCCGCCAGGAGCGGCCGCTCCTTCTCACTAAATAAAATCAAATGGTCAGCAGCCTTTCTCCATCCGCAACAACAGCATCTAAAATTCATCCGATCACCATCGTAACCGCTCCTATATTTTCCGGCAAGGGCTACGCTCGCTTTCGCCGCCAAAACCGCCATATCCTCCGCCCGCAGCCGGTGGTTCCGCCACCGCAGCGGCAACTCGAAATATAAATCCCCAGGCTGCAGCACCTCGTCGTCACCCATCGCCGCCGCGAATTCGCCGAACTCCATCTCGTCGGAGCTGCAAACAAAGCAATCCGAATTTCCCGGCGACAGATACGAAACCGTCAAATCCAGATCGCGATCTAGGAAGTCGGATCGCGATCTGGGGGTCTTACATAGAGCAAATAGGTTGCGGACCCAGATCGCGATCGCGATTAGGGGTGGGAACGAGCCGAGCTCGAGCCGAGCTCCGCTCTTTTGGCCAGCTCGAGCTCGAGCTCGAGTCCATGTTCCCGAGCTCGAGCTCGAGCTCGAGCTCATCGAGCCAATTTTTTTTGGCTCGAGCTCGAGCTCGAGCCAATTTTGGCGAGCTCGAGCTCGAGCTCAGGCTTATTATTATTATTTTTTTTTTTTTTTTTTTATTATTATTATTTATTTTTTTTATTAATTTTTTTTTTATTAGAAATTATTCATAGGAAAATAAAAAAAATTATAAAATAAATAATGAACTCTAGTTATATATATATATTTTTTTTCTATTATTATTATTATTATTATAATATTTTATATAATTATGAATTATTTAAGTAATATAGATTTGTTTCTATTTAAATACTAGATATATTTATTATTATAGACTATTTACTATTTAGTTAATAATAATAATAATAATAATAATAATAATAATAATAATAATAATAATAATAAGAATAATATATATATATATGTAAAAAGAAAAAAAAAAAAAAAAAAATAGAAGGCAGCTCGCGAGCCGGCTCGCGAGCTGTCGAACAACTACTTTTGGGCTCGAGCTCGAGCTCGTCCGAAGCTCGAGCTCGTGAGCTCGAGCTCGAGCTCGAAAATCCCGAGCTCGAGTTCGAGCTTTTTTCGAGCCGGCTCGTTTACCACCCCTAATCGCGATCTGGGGGCAAAAACCGTACTTATTGGAAAAACCCTTCTCTTTTTCTCACTTCTTTCTTTTACAAAATTCGAACACCCCCTTTCCCCCAACCCTAGAACTTCGATTTTCTTTCAAATTTCCTCTTCAAACTTGCATATTCTTAGATTTTCATCAACTATTAACGATTATTGCTTGTTTATATTGAGAATTGTGGACAAATCTTCAACAAAGGTATGTTCTTGACCCAAATTTTTTAGTTTTGCTTGAAAATTCGAATTTCTTCCAATTTTCTTGTTTTGTCCCTTGATTCTTCAATTCTTATTGCTAGTACGTAATTAAGTACTTGATTTTGGGATTTAAAGACTTGTTTAATTGGTTGAGCCAATGTTTAGATATAGAAATTGCCCTATTATGCTTAATTTCGAATTTCTTGTGAATTTTTGAATGGGTCGAGTCATATTATGCTAATTTTTGCTCGTTGATCGTTATTAATTGTTGTTGTTGTGTTGATTGATGTAGGAGGGTTAGTTTTCGAAAGAAACTATCATTCAAGGAGTTTCAAAGAACTTGCGCACGCCAAGTGTTCGACGAATTGTCCGAACCAATTTCAAGTTTCATTTTGCGCCCTCATTCACACCATGACTTCACCGGCAAACAAACTTCAAAAGACGGACGAGAATTCCAACTAGCCCAACCGAAGGGCAAAGGAAAAGCATAGGAAAAGAAGAAGGGAAAGGCTCAAGGCAAAAAGGGGGAAGAAGGCTCTTCACACTCGCCTTCACATTCGGAGGGACCAACCGAGCAAACCATTCCAAGAACCGATGACGTGCCACTCAACACGGGCGCCTGAGCCAATCAACGCACGCTCGTGAGCGACGTCACCTTTGACGAACACGATGAAGACATCTATGTGAATATCGAAGCCAAAAGCGAATTTATCGACCGCCTCCCTCGTTCGATCATCCCAGAGCGTGAGTTGTGTGTCCTACGATAGGATGCCCCTGGGTCGTCAACAACATCCAAGAACGGTGTTGGAGAGTACTCGTCGACAAATCAGGCACCTACAACGAGAACTTGGTCTGGCTCTACTACGCCAATGCCGGTCAGTACAAATGCTCGGTGGTTTTCATCCGGGGTTTTCATCCACGGGTTGAATCCGTGTTGAGGGCATTGTCGTAATAATTCCTTGAATCTCTCCCAAGACTCGTGCATCGGCTCTTGGCTCATCTGTCTGAAATTGCCTACATCTCTTCGTAGTTGTGCGGTCTTCGAGGGTGGAAATTATCGTGCCTGAAAGGCTTGTGATAATTCTTCCCAACAGGTGAGTGATCCTGGATTGAGACTAAGAAGCCAACTCTTCGCTTTGTTTCTGACAGAAAATGAGAATAGCTTCAACCGAATGGCATCATCAGAAACACCGTTAACTTTGATCGTGTCACAAATCTCCAAGAAATTGGCAAGATGGAGATTCGGATCCGCAGTGGCTGCTCCGGAGAATTGGTTCGCCATGACCATGTTGATTAGCCCCGTCTTTAGCTCGAAGTTGTTTGCGGCTATCGTCGGTTTCCTGATTCCTGAATAGTTCTCATTCACAGCTGGAGTTCGGTATTCTCGCATTGTTCGCTCGGGTGGCAGGTTCGGTCTTGGCTGCTCGTGATCTCGTCCTGGCTCTCGATCGTACTCAAAGGCCATGTGCTCTGGATTTCCCTGATCTTCGGCCATTGGTTCACTTTGTTGTTTGCGCGTGGCCCTTCGTCTTCGAAACATCTTTTCAATCTCGGGATCGTAAGGTATGATTTCCAAATTTCGACTCCTGGGCATAAACAAAGTGATTGGTTAAAATCAAGGTAAAAATCGAAATAAAACAAGTAAATGGCTAAAGTAATAATCAGATAGATAATTGGTAACACTATCAACAAAGATAAAATCAAATTGGTCCCCGGCAACTGCGCCAAAAACTTGATACGCGTTTTCCTCACCTATAAATTACCGCAAGTATACAGTATCGCATTTTGCAGAACAGTGGTTCCGGATATTGATCCACAGGGACCTTGTAGATTCACATGCTGAGTAGTGTAATTATATTATCGTTATATTATCTAGCCGATCGTAAATATTTGGCTTGGTGATAAACCGCATGCAAGATCGTAAACATGCAAATATGGAATGTACATAAATAAAGTAACGACAACTCAATGCGGGGGGACTTCGATTTAAAGGGGACTTCTAGGGCCAAATCTACCTATGTATAATCAACAACGATCTACAAATCCGTTATCTAATGCCACATTCTTATTCGTTAACCCAGACGCTAATGTACTCTAACCCCCGTCTCCAGTGTAGTTATTTTACCAGAGGGTTTTGAATTAGCTCCTTCCGATCGTATTTCTCCTGAGATGAAAGAAAAGATAGGCAATTTGTCTTTTCAGAGCTATCGCCCTAATAAAAAAAATATTCTTGTGATAGGGCCTGTCCCTGGTCAGAAATATAGTGTTTATTCCTCACTAATAATAGTGGAAGCAATAGAGTCTACCCACAGGTCCGACGTCTCCATTCAGAACCTGCTATTAAGAGAGCATTAAGGTCAAGTCCTTAAGGGCTACCCGAAGTGCATCACGTCTCCGTTTCCACACTCCGAGCTATGTTTTCCTAACTTCAAACAAGAAATCCTCTCTCGAGTTCATTCCTATTTAATATCAATCCGAGAGCTGATCAAACAATCGGAAGCATTTAATATAGGGAAACATAAACGAAATCGAAACACGACAAATAGATAATAGAAATGACGATCGAAATCAATATATACAAGGCTTCATTGCCCTAGAAGAAAATGTTCTTAGTTCATAACAAACATAATGTCAAAAGAATGTACAATGAAAATGAAGAACAAAACGTAAAGAAATTGCGTAAGAAAAACCCAAGTCGAAACCCCCGTTGATGATTCCCGCGAACGACTGTCGAAAACCGTAAAAAGTCGAAGAGAAATGAAGAATGACAGGGCCTTTCTATTTATAGTGAAATGCAAAGCTTCCTCAAGAAGCTTTGCAAAACAAAATATCTTTCTCAAAAGGCGTACCCAGATCGCGATCCGGGTTGTTTGGATCGCGATCTAGCAGCCTCGGGGAACTGCCCACCGCCATGCCAGATCGCGATCCAGGAATGTGTATCGCGATTTGGATCTTGACCCATTTCAGCACTGTAAGACCCCCCAGATCGCGATCCGACTTTCTGGATCGCGAACCGGATCTTGATCAATTTTCTCTCTGTGACAACCCCCAGATCGCGATCCAGAGATGTCAGATCGCGATTTGGGTCTTCTTGGCCCCAAAATTGGCTTGAAAATTGGGTTTCGCTTTCAAATGGCTTCAACTCGGCAAAAATACCTAATAAAACCCTGAAATAGAAATAAAACAAGAAACGCAATAATATGTACAAATAAAGCCGAAATTCGGACGAACGAAAACCAAAACTCGAAGATTCGATAAGCGAAAACCGTGCAAAACGAACACTTATAAGAAACCTTAACCGGCCACGTATATTCTCGAAGCTCGCCGTTTAGGAGGATTAATTTCGCCGTGAGTGTGGCGGCGGATGTAATCTCGCACGATCTGCAATTTCCCATAGCCGCGGGGATCGGAGAACTGCGGATTTTGCGGAACAAATATATAAATTTGTGATAAAATTAATAAATTAGAAATGTTTTGTATGTATGTATGTGCCATGCAATTTTTCATTGTTGTCCACGTCATAATACTTTATTATTTATTTATACTTAAATTTCACTTTATTCTTGTACTTTGGCTCGATATCATTTTACTCCCTTCTACTCTCGATTGTATCGATTTGCTCCATGTACTTGAAAATTTGTCTCAATGTGGCCATGACCGTTAGTTTTTCAGACCTTTGACAACATCGTTTGACCTAAGTCTGAAAATTACAAAAAAACCACCCTCCCAGGTTAAATAATTATTAAAAAAATTAAATAATTAAAAAATAAATTGTTCTGGCGTCAGGATTATGTTTTCTCGTTGTCTTGAATTTTTAATTTTTTTTTAATTTTTTTAATAATTATTTAAACTGAGAGATGTGGCGTTTTTGTAATTTCAGAGCTTAGATCAAATGGTGGTAGGGGCAACTGTCATACAACTAACAACGAGGGCCACATTACGATAATTTTTTCAAGTGCAGTGAACAAATCGATGCAATCGAGAGTAGAAGGGGTAAGGTGGAATTTACCCTTATTTATATTGGATATTCAAAAATTTTAAACAAGGGTAAATTACACCCACACCCATGAGGTATGCTTAAATAACTTTAAGGTCCCTGTGGTATCGATAATTACATTCACCCAATTGAAACGTAGTTATAAACTCTAATGGGATAATGCATGGGATACGTTATTACGATGGAGTTTTAACGCTCTATTGGTTTTAGGAAGTGGTAGAGATAACAAAGAGTTATGGGTGATTTAAGACATATTTGGGGAGTCATGTCACCATATAATTTCCCATAACTCTATGTTATCTCCACCAATAGCTAAAAGTAATAGTTCATTAGAACCCTATTGGAATAATATATCCAATGCATTATCCCGTTAGAGTTTATAACTACGTTTCAGAGGGGTGAGTGTAATTATCAATACCATATGACCTTAAAATTATTTAAGTATACCTCAGGGGTGGATGTAATTTACCCTTTAAACAATAAATAGATAAATAATTGACACATTGGAACTTTTAAATTTTTAAAATTAATATAACCTCATTAACACAAATATTTGATGAAGTTAAATTCTGATTAAGATCATAAGTCATACTCCAGTCAACGCATGATTTAATTATTTATTATTTAAATATAAAAATAGTATTAATTAATTATTTTGACATCAAAGTGCCGACCACACCAGCAATAAGGGAGGTGGGATCCCCTAGAACAGCGGACACAACAAACTGCAAAGCCAATCCAGCCACCTCACAGCATTTCTGTGCTTTTCCACTTTTACCCTTGGTGTGATTACTGTGAGTTTCCAGCGTGGCTTTTAAGCTGGGGATCCGAGTATCCGATTTCCTGCTTCCGGTGTAGCTGCACCCGTCGTATAATCCGTGCCAGCTGTCAACCAGCATCTCCTTCACGCACGCCACGTGGAAGTTGTACTTAAGGCAGGTCGATCTGTAGCTCCAGCTCCTCCCCTTTCTCCCACACCTGATCACAACTTTTTTTTATAAATAATAATTATTTTTTTGATCCTACCTTTTTCCACAAATAAATTGCAATTAAATAAATAAATAAATATATGGCATATTAGTTATATATAAAAATACGAAGAACGAACGACGATGTTAATTACGATTAATTATAAATGACAATTAAATATACGTCCGATTTTTTTTTTCTCTCTACTACTAAAATAATGCAATCGAATTTCGATTTGGATTTCAAATGATATTGTTGTTGGTGTAATGAATTTTGACTGGGAATATTTTGAGAGGTTTTATATTACTCTAGATTTATTTCGAATATTCTTGAAAAAATACAAATCGAATTGTAATTCGAAAGAGAATATTGTTTGAGTATATACAATTAAATCCAAATAATAATAATAATAATAATACTAATAATATTAATAGTAATTTAAAAAAACCAATAATGTACCAAAATTAATTAATTTACACATAAAATTACAAAAAAACATGTACTTAATGTTAAAAATAAATAAAACATGCTACAATTATTTTAAAACGTATTTTTTTTCAAATATTAATAAAATAGTTTTTTTTATCTGCAGATATATATTAATAAATTGTTATTAATTTCTCTTGGAAATTAATTTTTGCATATATAAAATATTGAAAAATGAGATATAATAGGGTTACTATATATGCCTGTGACACGGCGCGTTGACTTTACTGTAGAGGTGCAACTTGGTGTCGCCGTCGGCGAGCACCATCGGAAGCTTAGCGCAGCAAGGGTGGAGGTCAAACCCACACGTCCTGCAGTGGTAAACGAATCCAGTCACGCGCTTCTCGCACGCGTTGCAGTAACGCGCCTCCGTCCCCGGCGGCCGGCTGAGGAACTGGAACGAGCACATCGTGTAGAAAGGGTGGACGACGGTGGGCGACGGGATGGCGCAGTGGGTGTGCAGGTCGAAGTCGCAGGCGGCGCCGCCGCACTTGTAGGAGGAGCCGATCCCGACCTCCCTGCAGCCGTCGCATTTGAACGGCGCCTCCGTGTGTTGGGGCTTGAGCGTGTGGTGGGGGTGGCTGAAGTGGGAGATTTCACTGTATTTCATTGGCTTTGGAATTTGAGGAGGGCGAAATAATTAAAATTTCCGGGGGTCTAATAATAAATAAATATATATTTTTTATTTTTTGCTATTTTTGGGGGTAGTCTAAATTTATTATCCTAAGTATATATGTTTTTTTTTAAGTAGCTTTTTTAAGGTTGTTTAATGGCTTGAAGTTGAAGCAATTGACAAATTTTACTTTTTTTTTATATGTAGAAATACATTTTCAATATTTTTTAAAATTCATAAATGCTTTTAAAATTTATAATGTGGGGATGCATAAGGTATAAATAAAGCACATAAGAATGGGAATTTTGACTTTACACGATTTCTCTAAATGGATATAGTTCTACTAACTCCAGATACACAAAGTCGAAAACTATATTTATTCAGTCACGTAATGGTTAATCTACTGTAGTTTACATCTTTTATATAATTTGTAAGTTTATACGAGAGTGTATGTAGCATGTGTTGTTTACAATTTACCTATCGCACCTATTTGGTTAGCTGCATGTTCCTTCGTTACAAAAAAAAAAAAAATACTGATTTACATTTTATTTAATGGAGTTTATGATTTGTTGTGACATTGATATATTACAATTTCTAAATTTTGTTCTAAGAAATAATTGCATGTCCAAACTAACAAAAACGTCATTATTCCTAAGTGTCATATATACATGCCCAAATATATATATGTAATATATTTAGCATATATTTATTTATTCATTGCTGAAAATATTAGCAAAGAATTTCATACATGACATGACCCGAAAAAAGTTGAATTAATTTTTGGATATAATTACAAAAAACAAAAGGGAAAGAAATTTTGGTGTGTTGGGTGGAGTCCATGGTGGCATGAAGGAACAAATTCTTTGGTCCCAAATCTTTTTACTTCTTTCATTGATTATTACATGATTGAAGCATAAAGATATTCCAATTAGCTTGATTATGTTTTTGTATTTTCTTATTTTGTTAAAAAACTAAAAATGTTAATAATTGTGGCTGAAATTTTCAAATAATATTGTTTATATCCAAAAGTTTAGATTTTTTATCGTGAATAACTAATTAAAAAAGAAAAAAAATAATAATCATATACGTGCACTGAGTAAATTTCGTTCTCGTACAATAGTCTATAAACCGGCAAGACATGCAATATAATGAAGCTCGACTCGTTCGTTAGAAATCGTATTTTGTTTACTCCACTAATTATAATTATATAATTTGCAGGCACTAATAAGAAAGTCGAATTGAATTAGTAAATAGAAGCAACTTTAATATATGCCTACTTTTAAAGATACTTCACTTTGGCTGTTGTAGGAAAATTCGATACACCAAGTCTTAGTTTACAAGTATGTTACAGAACAGGACTGTTAAGTCAAAATGTTAGAAAAAAGAAAGAAAAAAAGAAAAAGAAATCAAGACATTTTTATTTTTGAAATAGCTGCAAAAAATGGAAATATTTAAATTCTTGACTATTGAAAAAGTGTTTTCTAAATTAGAGGATGAGTCTAATGAACGGCAACTACAGTTTGATTATGCATTGGAAACGAATAGGATAAATTACAAAATGCCCCTAAACTTAGGTTAAATTACGAATAATCTCCCCACCTATCTGTAGTTATCGAAACTCCTTTGACGTTTGTTTGTATCTTACACAAACCCCCTTATGGTGTGGTATTTCACGGAATCCTTTTCATTTCAATGAACATTTCCCGAAAAATACCAATTATACCCTGCAAACGAGTCATTTCTCTATGTTACTTTTCAAAGACAAAAAACACTCTAAGAGAGGTAATTGTAATACTAAAAAAATTGTGAGGGTAATTTGAGAAGGATAAAGATTCCGTGTAAAGGCATATGAGGTTAATTTGTCTTTAAAAAGTAACATAAATAAATGTCACGTCAAGAGGGGGTTGTTGTAAGACGTAAACAAATGTCGGAGGTATTTTTGTAATTAAAAATAGGTGGGGTCATAATTTAGCCTAAATTTAGGGGAGTTTTGCAATTTACCCAAAAGAATATCATGAAAATTGATATGGTTGAATTTTTAAAAGAAGTGGAATATATTTTGAAGATCTCCACAAGTAATCTTTTTGGTCATATTATTGGTAATTTGCATCCATTTTTTTTTTTTGAACTTAAGAGAGAATATTTACTCAAAAAAAAAAAAAAAAAACTTAAGAGAGAATATTAAAAAGGACTACATAAAGAATATTATTCAATTATTTCACTTTTACACCATCCACTGATCCACCTACTAAATGATCATATATATAAATAAATAAATAATAAAAAAAAAATGATCATGAATATAAAAAAAATAACCCCTTTTAGTTTACATTATTCTAACTATCTTATTTTTTAGGATGTGTATTTAAATTTTTACTTAACGTGTGTAAAATGTTATTAATTTTTCTTCATATATTCCAAGCGTCAAAATGCTATATTTTGAAAATACAAAGTTGAATTAAACCAATATTTATTCAACCAATATATAATTGTGCCTTTATATAATCAAGTAATTAACAATCTAATAGAGAACGGTTGTGTTGAATTAGAGGGTGTTTGACTAAGCTTATAGGATGTTAAAAGGAGCTTATAAGATGTTTTAGAGCTTATAAGTTCTTCCAAAGTGTTTGGTAATTTTTTTAAAAAGATCTTAATTTTTTTTAAATAAGCTGTTGGAGACCAAATAAGATCTTTTTAAATAAGTACATCTACCCCACCTTTTTATTTAAGATCTTATAATGAGTAAAAATTGAAAATAAGTTCATTATCCAAACACCCTAAAAATTAATCATAAAAATAAGATGTAACAGCTTATCAGGTTTAAAAACATCTTATCAGACGTAAGAGTTTATCAGCTATTTAAAATAAACTTAGACAAACACCCTTTTACTCGTAAAAATATTATAATATCACACCGTTAATTAATTAAAAATTGTAAGATAATTTCAAAAAGGGCCGTGCTAAATCCTACACTAACATTTACTAAATCCCACACATAAATTAAAAAAATTATTCTCTCTCTACGAAAATTCTCTCTAAAATGATTTTATCCAAGTCACTCAAAATTCATTAATTTTTACGTGAATAATCATAAAAAATGAGTTCCGTTTTATTTAATATTTATTCAATTTCATTGTTTTTTTTAATTATTCAAATTCATATCAATTCGATTTTTTTCCTCAAATTCCAAATTTATTTTAGTTTGAACATGTGAAGATTTTTATCAAATTCTATCTTGGAATGCTAGGGATATTTTTAGTGTGTGATTTTGTGAAAAAAATAGGGGAAAAAAAGAAGGGGTGGGGAAGGAGAGAAAAAAATTTAGAGAGAGAAACATTTTTAATTATGTGCATGATTTGGTAAAAATAGTGTGGGATTTAGCATTTCAGTTTCAAAAATCTAGTAAATTCAAAACTCTGCATTTGCGATTTTTTACTATTTTCAGTTTTCATGCACACTATCTGTTCGATGAAATTCCTGACAGACGTCAATGGCGTTTCAATCAATTTCAGGAAATCCATTGTTCTCTTCGCTTCACTCTTCCCAAAACCCATGCCGTTCTCTTCATCATCAACAACACCACCTACTTCCGGCGTCGACGTAGCGTCCGCCGCCGTCTCAATCCTCAAGCACCACCGCTCAAAATCCCGGTGGTCACACCTCCGCTCCCTCATCGCCGCCGGAGAAGACAACCGCCTCACCGCCGACCAATTCTCTCAGATCGCCCTTCAACTCCGCAACAGTCCCCAACTCGTCATCCGCTTCTTCCACTTCACTCTCCACCACTCTCTCTCCTCCCACACTCTCTTTTCCTACGCCACCGTAATTCACATTCTTTCTCGCTCTAGGCTTAAATCACAAGCCCTAACCCTAATTAAATCCTCCATGTGCGCATTCTCCGAATCCCAGCAGCAAACATCCACGATTTCAATCCTCGATGCACTGATCAAAACCTACAGAGCTTGTGATTCCGCCCCCTTCGTCTTCGATTTGTTAGTCAAAGCGTGTCTAGAGTCCAAAAAAACCGATCTCGCTATCGAAATTTACGCAGCTCTAAAGTCGAAGAACGTGCATCTGAAAACGAGCACTTGCAACTCTTTGATCGAAATCGTCTCGAAGAATCGAGGTTGCTTCGCCGGGTATGATTTATATAGGGAAATTTTCAATCTCGATGCTGAAAACGCATGTCGAAATCGGAAACGAGAAAACGGCGTTTCTCCGAATGCGAGTACTTTGAATGCGGTTATGATTGGTTTTTACAGAGAAGGGTTGGTGGATAAAGTCGAACAAGTGTGGGATGAATTCTCGAGAGTCGCATGCGTGCCGAATGTATACAGCTTCAACGTGTTAATGGCAGCATATTGCGATGAAGGGAGAATGAAAGAAGCCATGGAGGTGTGGGAGAAAATGGAGGATCAAGAGTTGAAACGTGACGCGGTTTCATATAACACAGTTATCGGTGGGTTTTGCCGAATCGGAGAAGTCGAAAGGGCAGAGGAGATTTATAGAGAAATGGCGATGAAAGATGTCGAAAGCACTTGTGTTACTTACGAGCATCTAATAAACGGGTACTGTAAAATCGGGGATTTGGATTCTGTGAAGTTGCTGTATAAGGATATGTGCAGGAAAGAATTTAGCCCGGAGAATTCGACTGTGAATGTTATTATCGGATCGCTTTGTGAGAAGAATGAAATTTCTGCTGCATTGGAGTTTTGGAGGATGGCGGAGAAAAAGTACGATTCTGTTTTGGAGAAGGAGAATTACGAGAAGTTGGTTAAGGGTTTGTGTGAGGAGGGATGATGGAGGAAGGTTTGAAGGATTCAAGCGGAGATGGTGGTGAAAGGGTTTGAACCGAATTCGGATATTTATGGTGCTTTCATTGACGGGTATTTGAAACAGGGGAATGAACGAATGGCCGATAAATTGAGGGAAGAAATGCTCTGTAAAAGTCGATAATGAACGAATGTGATTGAAAACAATGCAAAGATTTTCCGCGTAAGCGATGGATGGCGATTTTCTTACATCAGAAACCGAATCTTCTTGATTATAAAGGTCATAAAGATGATCCTCCTCTTGCTATTGGATGTGCAGTTAACTTGATGAGATTTGATAGTTCATTTTTCTTCGATCTCCCTCGTCTCCGCCGAGTGCCGACAATAGACATTGCTACATAAATTATGTACACCATTATACGTACATACAATAGTTGATGTGATGCCGGTGATAGGCGACAATAGTTACGAGTTGGAGCTCAAGTTGTTCACTTTGATCGGAGATAAGGGGTGGACGCGAACGACGGCTACCCGAACTCCGAACTCCGAACTCCGAACATGGCCACGTGGCTCTTCAGCTGCTTAAACGCCGCCGTTTTGTTCGGTTTCTCACGTAACATTTTTGCATTGCTTTTTACCTTGTCCTTTTCTTCTTTGCTTTTAATTAATATAAACAGAAGAATGAATTAAAAACTCTAATAATCAATCCTCTTTTCCTTTTAATAATCTTTTTATTTGTACTTCGATTTATGTAGTAATGTTGGGCTAAGTGGTTCGGAAATAATTATGTGGATCCATGGAGCCCATTTAATTTTGCTGATAAATTAATCATTAATATAAATAATTAATGGCGAAAAAAGCATTAAAATAATTATTAAAAATACGGCCCATTAAATGAATGATATTAATTTATAAGCAAAACTAATGGCGAAAAAAAGCCTTAAAATAATTATTAAAAAAATGGCCCATACAGGTCTCGAACCTGTGACCTTCGCGTTATTAGCACGACGCTCTAACCAACTGAGCTAATGGGCCAGATGTTAGATTTACTTAACTATTATATTTGTCCTTTAATTACCCACAAATCAAATATTCAAGTCTCCTTTTACCGAACCAAGTATACCCATCATTTTCAATGACTTAATATTAGGGGAAATTATATGCTAGACCGAGTTATTTATATCGGGTATTTGTTAATTATAAATAATGTTAAATAATCATTTACTTAGTACACATACTCATAGGTGTGTGTGATTATTATGCATAAATTTACGATTTACAGTCACTCAATCTTAATAATCGGATCTAGAATAAAATTTCCCTAATATTAATATGTTTTTATTCTCTTTTAGACTAATCATTTTGAAGTTAATCTAGTGTAAACCCTTCAGTTCGTATACTGCCTCTCGATCTCCATTACTTTACCATTCCGTACATGCCTTCCAACTTTTAAAAATTCCCGTCGAAGATTGTATCTATCGTACTTTTTCGACTTTTATACTTGGGTTGGTTTTCTAATTTCATATTTTAAATATTATTGGTTTATTCTACCACCTCACTATATATATATATATATATATATATATATATATATATATATATATATATATATATATATTTTTTTTTTTTTATTTTTTTTTATTTTTAAACAAAATATTATTACTAACATGCATTGACTGTATTAATTAATAATTAAAAATATTATCCCTTGACATGGTTGATGTACTACGAAGTCTATTTTATCAAGCACTCGACAAATATTCCATTTTCCACCAACAAAAACGAAAAAAATATTTAAATAAAACAAATAAGATAAAATAAAAATAAGCTTTACAGTAATAACAAATCAAAATCACCACGTGGCATTGGTCAAAGATTTGACCGTAACGGAAGTACCTAACAGAAGCGTTCCACTCTCAACGGTAAAAGTATCATACTTCAGAAAAAACTCCACCACCATCATTCGCGCCAAAAGCACCACCATATCCTTCGCCGGACACTGCTTGTTCGCCGCCGTCGGATCTTCATCCTCCCTCCCGTTCGACCACAGCACGTACTTTATCAGCTTCTCCCCTTCCTCCCCGACGAATCTGTTCGCGACGAAATCCTCCGGGCTCTCGAAAATCTCGGGATCTTTCGTCGCGAACGGCTGATACCCGCATATCATCTCCCCCCTTTTGATCACGAACGCCGCCGTGTGGCTGGCGACGGTGATGTCGTGTTTCGCCCTGCCGAACTGGTACGCCACCGGCGGCTCGATCCGCATCACCTCCCACGCCACCGATTTCGTCAGGCTCATCTTGTTCACCGCCGCCAGTGTGACCTTGCCGCCCTCCTCCTTCACCACCGCCCTGATCTCCGCCGCCAGGCGGCGGTGGAGATCCTCCCCCGCCGCGCCGATGTACTTTAACAGCGCCGGGAATAGCACTTTCATGCCGCCGTAGGCGTTGAAACCGGTTAGGAAAAGTAGGTTGTGTGTGGCCTCGTCCTTGCTAATTATAACTGGCGACATAGTCTTCGCCGCCTCATCGAGCAGCGCCGCCGCAGCATCCCGAAAAGCATCATGAACCTTCTCATACCCGGACTTCACCGCCCAAAACGGCAACGGGAAAGTGTGCAGCACAAAATCTTCCAGAAAGTTCGGCAGCCACTTCAACCCTAACGTCACTAAAGGCGCTAACTGAAACAGCAGCCACTTATCAAGGTTCCCGTTCCCACCGCCGCCCACACTCGTCTCATACGAGCTCTTACCATCACCAAACAAACGGAACAGGAAATCAAACGACATCTTATCACTAACGGCGTTAAACCCAGCCCCTTCAGCTTGCCCCTTAACCGCCAGCTCCTCCTCAAGGTCAACAAACATATGACCGACGGAGCTCCGAAAAGTAGGGATCAAACTCTTGTGGGCCCTACTCAGAAACGACAAAAAGAACGATTTTAATATCGCGTGCTTCGGCTCAGACGGGTCTAGATAGGAGCAAACACGGTACCCTCCCGTGAAGTGGGTTGACGGCATGAAAGTGCCGGTGAAGACGTCCCGTTTTTCAACCTTCGAAACGTCGAATAGGACGGGGAAACTGACGGCGTCAAGAAGGACCACCACTTTGGAGTCTTTGGCATTGAATGGGCCGGGACGGACATTAACCCTGAAAACGGTTGAGTTGTATTTCTTGACTCGGGCTCGGAAAAACTCGTCTTGCCCTTGTTTGTAGAAGAAGTCGAAACGGTCTCTTATCGGACCGAAAAACGGTAATCCGTAGCTACCGGGAATTTCCTTCAATGGAAGATTCTCAGTAGACATTTTTGTGGTGTGGTGCAGTATTGATGAAATAGTTTCATTTATAGATTAATGCAGTAGTGGGGTTCAATTATTTATTATTATTATTTAATTTTAGTTTCTTAGTACATATATGTGTATAAATTATAATAATATTTTCGTTCTTGTAATATATTTTTGATGAAATAAATATGAGATACATAATCAAAATGCAATAAAACATTAAAATTTATGCGACATTACACATTTCTCCTCGCGTGGTTGATAATGACATGACAAGACTATGCCCAGTTGGGCGCATTGAATTATTGCGTGTATTTTTGTGCACGTTTGTTCTCGATTAATTTAATATCCAAAAATTAGATATAAATAATTAGTAAATTATTTTATCCACTCCTGCAATTTGTAGATTTCTTACATTAACAACACACTTTTATAGAGGGGTCGATGTAAGAAATTTACAAACTGCACGGGGTCTAGATGAAATTTCTCAAAGTGAGGTGGTCTTTTTTTGTAATAACACTTTACCCTGGGAGGTGGTTGTAGTTTACCTTAATTAGTGGTGCATTCACAAAATTGAAATTGATGATGAACTTACCACTCAAAATACATTTTCTTTTATATCATTTAATAAAACATGTGTATATTACTTTTAATTTTTACAATGGAAGATGAGATGGTACACCAAATGAAATTAAGAAATATTGAAATAACTAAATCATTTGTATAGAGCTATTGGTACAAGCAATTAGAGTCCCAAGTCCTCTAAAAGTGGTTTTCGTATAACCAATTAAAGTCGTGTTTCATAAAGGAAAAAAACAAACAAAATATCTCGACAAACTTACCAGAAAAAATGAGTAGCTGTTTAGAAAAGACTCATATCTGCTTAGAAAAGACTCATATCTGCTGGTGGTCCGTATACACTCTGCCATGAAAACGGAGCGATCCATTTATCAGCACCGTTGCCTGAACAACGACAGCGTGTTAGAATTTGGTCTGAAATCTTCAAAAGCAAAATACTAGATCCTTAGATTGTGGTCAGAAAGTTTAAAAATATTTATAAAAATAATTTCAAAATATTTAAATTTCCGTACAATTATGCATAAATACTTTGTCATATTTTAGTCAAGTTGCATAAGAAACTACATATATGTATTAGAGACGTGTGTTTGTGTGCGCGCACACATGTATATTTGGTGGGGATAAAACCCATTAATAATAATAAATTAATTAAAAAAAAGAAGAAAAAAAGAGGAAAAACGGCTCACCGTGAAATTGATTCTGGTTCAATCCTGTAAATTTGCTAGTTGCCTCAGCCATATAGAAAGCTTCGGGTATATTGTCTCCCTCCGAGCAGTAACATAGTAAGCAAGTAACTTTTATACCTTTTGCCTATACATACACAACAAGCGCGTCGAAGAAATGGAATCAATAGAAGCATAAAAATAAAAATAAAAACAAAAACAAAAATAAACGGGTCACACATTATCAACCTATCAAACAATAATCGGTTCATATTTTTGTCGAACTCCTAAAAAGAAATTCGCAGGCTTGTCATTCTAATCGATATCCACCAAACATTTGGTTGGAGATAAAGTTCCCAAAAATAAAGCATATGCCACAATAACTATTTGAAGATATTTCAAGAATTCCACAAAACGAGTGCTATTACACATCAGAAGATCATTTAAAAAAAAAATCATTACCTTAAAGCAGGAAAAGAGTGCAGCAAAAGGCAAGCTCGGATAGTAATCTTCATCTTCTAGTTCCTCGAAGAGAAAATCTTCATCAATCATGGATCCTTCTTCGGCTAATTCGTCGAGATGTTTCCACATTCTTTGGCCAGGATTGTAATCTTGCAGGCTCTTCCACCCAAGACTTTCACAATCAGCATCAGTTCCATCGGCATTGGAACTAGATAAGTAATACATCTGCATACCGCTGATACACATCACCACTAAATCAGTTAAGTTCACCGAAATTTCATTTGAAAAAAAAATCAAATCGTAGTGACACCTACACCGAAAAAGTGAAGGATGTATTCAACATCCCTCGTATTTCTTGTTACTTATAGCAATTAATTACACTCCATAACAAATCTTGAAGCTTAATGTCAAGTGGAGGAAAAATACCTCGACATATCAATATTTTTCCACCGCCCGAAATCCAAGCTGGAGAGTATGATAACGTGCTTCTTCCCGTTAGCAGCCGCAAAATTTGCCATGTTCTTAGCATATTCAATCATCATACCCTGTTTGACCACCAATACGATAAACATTATTTCAGTATCGATTTTGCAAGACAGTGTTATCCAATGATTGAATTGTATTGTTAAGCATAAGCAGAAAGTATATAAACAACAAAATCTTCATAACTCAAAACTAACGAAAGTTATTCACAACCTTAATAACCGGAGACCGCTGCTGCACGAGTGTCAATGCACTAGAAGATGATTCATAAGCTGCCAAGTTTAAGCCAAACTCATAAATTCAACAAAGGATTCAAACTAAAAAAATAATAACAATGAGGAATTAACAGAGTAAAAGTTGTAAAAAATGATTAAAAAATAAAATACAATTCTTCGAAAATACCTTCGAGAGGGAGAGCTAATTTTCCGGCCGGCGCCGGCGAATAAGCGTCGTTGCCAACACAAGGAAGCACATTCGGATCGTCCAAACAGCCGATTTTGTCGGCTTTTAGCGACGAAATCAATAGATCCACAGCTAGCTGCCCTACATTTCCGACCGATAGCGCCGGCTGCAAAATTCAAAAGTAAATCAACACCTCTATACATTAAGAATAAGATTAGGAGAATCGGAAAAATGAACGGTATTGAAACCCTAAAAAACGAACCAGAATCAGAGTAGAGCTATTAGGGTTTAACTCTCTTCCTTCTTCGAGATAAAACTCCATCTGCGTAACTTTCCGCAATTGTTCCGTGCAGCAATTTCGTGATTAATCGAGAATATTTTGAGCTGAGCTAACAGTGGAAATTCTTGAGGAAGAAGAAAGAGTGGGGTTCGATTTCCCAGTGGAAATCATTTTACGAAGAAAGAGTTAATTATTTGGGCCTGTTCTTTTTTTCCTCTTTGGAAATATTTTGAGCCTAAAATAAATAAGGATCCAATTCTTTTCGACCCGTTTTACTAAATGGTAAAGTCCGATTTTGATAATTTTTAATTCAAATTTCTCACACATAAACAAACCTCTCGCCTAATTTTACGAGAACACGCTATTGTATAATTGATTTAGGAAATTTTACGAAAGATAGGTTTACTCTGTGCATATATATGATTGACTGTGGATTTCTTTAATATTTTAGGTTTACTCTGTGCATATATATGATTGACTGTAGATTTCTTTAATATTTTAGAGCAGCGTGGCAAATTATTGTAAGAAACCAAATATTAAATAAGATTCAATTATTTTAATTAATCATGATGTATAATGAAAGATAGCTAATTGACATTTTGGAGATTAATTCAAACAATATGATTTCTACAACATGTAGGCCATTGTGAAGAGATGTAAGAACTATATGTAGTCCCATAAGCGCACAATCTAATGGTTGGAAAAATTGAGATTGTATTAACTGATCCAAGTTTAGATCTCATTGGCAACGATTGCTAAGTCGAACTTGTCATATATGTTTAGTTTAGTTTGATTTGCGTTTCTCGTATAATTTGCAATCTATTATACGAGGGTGTAGGTTTATACAGTGCATCTATATTGTTGGCTTCGATGACGTAATTTATGAATATATTTTTATTTTGTTTTCAAAGAAAAATGTATTAGGAAAATATTTTGAAACCCAAAACTAATCGTTTATTAGTTTAGTTTTCAAAGAAGATCATCAAAACTAAAAGGTGGGGAAAATATAGAAATTAATAGCAAATTACAATATAATACATCCCTTCAATTAAATTTATTTATACAATGAAACTATACATACATAGATACAAAACTAAAAAAAAAAGAGTTTTACATATACATACATATATATATTATATATATATATATATATATATATATATATATATATATATATATATATGTATAGTTCATCCGATTTGATTTCAGCTCGGAGCGAACCGGTCCATGAGCAAGAAAACCGTGGTTTCCGACATTGTCTTCTGGCTTTTTGACGACTTTAAGGAAGATGAAGATGAAGATGACCCGTTTGGGGGTAATTTGGTAATTTCATCTGATTTCTCTTCAGGAGCATCTTTTTTCATGGATCTAAGAAAGAAAGGGTTGCAGCTTGATCCGATTACCTTTCCTCTCAACTTCGTCAATTCTCCGATGCACAAATCAGCTACCGCCGCCATTTTTCTTGAATTATCTGTTATTTTTTATTTTTTCCTTTCAATTATTGATGATATATATCAACTTTTAGAGATATTTTTTTTTAATGAAGGAGAATGTGTTATTTATATAGGATGAGGAAAAGAGGGCCCGGGAAAAAAGAATAAATTAAAGGTAAAATACGGAAACCTGGACTTAGGCTAAATTACGAAAAGGACCTCCATCTATCTCTAATTATCAAAATCCTCCTGATGTTTGTTTCCGTATGACACCGATCACCCCCATATAGTGTGATTTTCGAACGAATCTTTTTGATTCCAGGTAGTATTTCCCGGAAAATATCAATGCTACCCTTGAGGAAGTGATATTTATTTATGCTACTTTTTAAAGACGAAATTTACCCTCGGAAGTAATGATATTATTAGAAAGTTGGAAATGTGTCATTTAAGAAGATTAAAAGATTACGCTGAAATTAAAGGCCCCGTGAGTGTACTTTTTGTATTTAAAAAGTAGCATAAAAAAATATCACGTCTATAGGGATATAAGTCGATAGGGATATAATCGAAAATTTTCGAGAAGTAGAAATGCTCCTGGAATAAAAGCAAAATCCGTGAAAAATCACACCATAAGGGGTCAATGTAAGAGCAGAAACAAACATTAGGAGATTTTTGTAATTATGTATAGGTGGGTGCATTTTTTATAATTTAGTACAAGTTAAGGGGGTTTTTTGTAATTTACCTAAATTGAAAGAAAAATCTGTGTACGCGGTCGCGGCCCCCCATTTGGTCAGGACACGGTGTTTTGTTCGTCGGAATATTCTTGGAATTTACTTAATTCACCATATTTTTCTTTCAATATAAAAGAGATGATTTTTCAAAACAAAATTGAGAATTTTTTTGACTTCTATTTCGACATTATGCCAATTGGTATAAACCGAATCAATTATATTTTTCACATGTTTATAACGTTATAACAATATCAATAATATATATTTTCGAAATTTGCAAAAAAATAATAATTAAACTACAATTACATTTTTTTTTGCTAGATTCAAACATTTCTTTTAAATGTAAAATCGGAAAAGTAATAAAAAAGTAAATATTTAATGATTTAAAAAACAAATATTCATGAATTGAATTATCAATCTATCTTCATTGGATTTATTTTAGACAATAATTCACGTGACCAATAATTCATTTTGGTCCTAAAAGACAAAAATAGGTGTCTGCTGATTGGTTTCCAGCACATTAACTGATAATGCTTGAGCAGAAAAGTAGGGAAGAGAAAAATAAAATAAATAAATAAAATAATATTTTTTTTCTTAAGGAAAATAATAAATAAAATAATTCAATTATTTATAATTGATTTAAATTAGATAGTGCTTCTTATAGTGCCAAGTAGCCGTAGCATGAATAATTGGAACTAAATAGATTATTACAGTGACGTGTCATCTTAATCTTATATGATTCATGATTGAATTTCCGGTATGGTCTTTATCCCAAATTAATAATCTTTTTTTTTAACCTAATTTTTTCCCCCAATTTCCGGTATTTGTGGATAAGCTTCAGTTTTTTTAAGTGATTTATTTTGTTCCAATCTAAAGAAAACCAAGAAAAATGGGAAAATTTGGTCAACGATATGCTACACCCGATGAAATATATCGGGTAATTAGGAGAGTTGGTACCTAGCCTTTACCAATAGGGTAACGGTCTAGGGTTCGAGTCCCCCCCTCCCCTACTTCCCCTTGTAATGGACTTGAATTTACTCAAAAAAAGTGCACACACACATATGTGTGTGTGTGTGTGTGTGATATTATGTACATATCTATTGTTCAAGATCACCCGATGCATTTCACCGGATGTAGCATCTACAAAACCGAAAAAATGGATTTATGAGATGCTACACCTGGTGATTTTGGACCGTAAATCTATACGAATAATTATGTATAGAATAATATTATGTGTATTTTATCGAATGTAGAATCTACTAAACCGAAAAAATGTGAAAAAACAGGGAACATCACCTACTTTATAGCATATTCATTCATGTATGAACTAATATATACCATATTTACTTGAAATTTAAGCTTTCTTGTAATAACTCTATCAAAATTAATTGATCTTTTAGGTTTCTATCTCTAAAGTATTGAGAAATCGTATAGCATATGTATATAAATTGAATCTAAATTCTGGTAAGTTTAAATTTCGTACTTATTAGTTATTTCAATCGGTATAACCAACTTTATTTAGGTAGCTGTGAGAATCGGACATATCAGATTGAAATTAAATTCGTACTTTCAAACATAATCGTATGTATACACACACTACACATATACATACAAGTACCATACATATTATTCACCGTATTATTTAATAAAAAAAAGGTTAATATATAAATATATGCATGTTCAATTTAGGGACTAAATGTAAAACAAGAGAAAGATGAAAATATTCGGCTTACCGAGTTGTATTTTATTCATATGGTTTTATACAGAAGAGTTACAATTTGAATAGAGTTTGACATACGTGAAACTCTCACATTTACACAGAGAAATAGGAGGAACGTTATAACTGAATAAGCTAAGCCTTCTAAAGACGGGGACAAGATTTAGAACCCCCCCCCCCCCCCCCCCCAAATTGATGGGGGAAGCGTAACCAACAATTTGGAACGCAAATAATTAAAACGCACGCTAGTCTATCCTTTGGTGAAAACGTCAGCCACTTGGTCGTGAGTAGAAATATACTTGACTTGTATGTCTTTGTTCACCACTTTTTCTCTGATAAAATGATAGTCGATCTCCACATGTTTAGTGCGAGCATGGAACACAGGATTTGAAGCAAGAGCAATGGCACCAATGTTATCACACCAGATGATCGGCGGAGAAGAAAGTGAAACATCCAACTCGCGCAATAACATTCGAATCCAATATAATTCAGCAGTAGCCAATGCCATAGACCTATACTCGGCTTCTGTGCTTGATCTAGAGACAACACGTTGTTTCTTGGCGCTCCACGATATAAGGTTTTGTCCAAGAAACACACCAAAACCGCTGGTCGATCTTCTATCGTCTGGACATCCTGCCCAATCAGAATCACAAAAGGAAGACAAAGAAATAGATGAAGGAGTATAGGACAATCCATAATCAATGCTTCCTTTTAAATATCTAAGTGCTCTCTTCACTGCACACCAATGGGGCTCCCGAGGTTTATGCATAAACTGACACAATTGAGTTACAGCATAACTTATATCAGGACGTGAGATGGTGCAATATTGAAGAGCGCCCACAACTTGTCGATATTCAGTAGCATCTTCCAAGAGTTCGCCTTCTTCAGCGGAGAGTTTGGAACCCGATGTGGTTGGCGAAGAAAGAGGTTTGGCGCCAATCATTTTTGTTCGATGCAATAAGTCAGAGATATATGCAGACTGACGTAAATGAAGTCCTAAATTATCCCGTGATGCTTGTATACCCAAAAAGTAGCTAATGGGCCCAAGATCCTTGACTTGAAATCCAGATTGTAATTGTTGAATAATATTAGTAATAGCCAAAGTATTTGAGCCAGTTACTAATATGTCATCAACGTAGACAAGGACAAAAATTTTATAGTCATTCATGTGCAAAGTAAAGAGAGAATAGTCAACTTTAGACTCAGAAAACCCAAGTTCAATGAGCTGTTGAGAAAGCCGTCGAAACCACGCCCGTAGAGCTTGTTTGAGGCCATACAATGACTTGTGTAGTCTGCAAACAAAACTTGGTTTGGATTC